AATCTATATTGTGATAAAACGGGTCTTACATGGCGAAATGCATCAAATCACGTGAGCACCGTGATTAAAAACATGGAAAGATTTGGAAAATATCTGCTAATGAGTTGGCGGTGCACATGCTTTGCAAACCCTGCAATCCACCGAAATCTGCACGACAGTTTACGAACCAGATTTCAATTTCGGTGCGTGATTTTGATTGAACTATGCATAGACTTGTTGGTCAAGCCAAAATGTAACTCCATAATACCAGCCTAGTTCGGCAAGGGTGGAAACTGGACTTTCCTAGTCAACTAACTCTCTTGCCTCGGGAAGATAAATGAGAAGAACCTTTTACAGTTTTAACAAAAACAAACACAGGAAGTCACGCAGACTGCAACAAACAGAGCGCCCGCGAGTACCTTTTTAAATTATGTGATAAATCACTTTAAAAAACGCCACATTCATTGGGATTGTGTCTTTATAATTTGTGTGATTATTTGTAATTAATGTGTGTTTTGTTCGTTTCTTTGTTTTTTAATGCCACACTCGGCAATATGACGGCGGTCTGTAAATTATAAAGTCTGGACCAGACAATCCAGTGATTGACATCATGAGCACATCCACACAATTGGGATAAGATGACATGCATCAACCAAGTCAGCGAGCCTGACCACCCGATCCCGTTTCCTCTTTGACAAGCATGGGTATTTAAAGGGTGTATATTTGCCATAGTTTGGTAGCTCTCGGCTAGTTTTGTTCAGTATGCCTGTAAGAAGAATAAACCAGAAACAGGTGTATGTAGGATGAGATGGTGATGTGACTGCTAACCATCCATCTCACAGGCAGCTAGGGATGTATACTCCTCAGGGAGCTGAGAATCAAAAATCGAGTGCACTCATACGTTAACCGGGATAATAATAATGCAGCACTTTGAGCACGCATGTACATTGCATATGGAGTAATGTGCTTTGCAAGCAGACTATTGGTGTCTAGCGAAATGAAAGTGTACAAATTTACATTGTGTATAACCACAGGCCAAACCTATCAAGTTTTAGTGTCTTTCTCAACAAAATCAGGAAGAAGTGTTTACAGCATCTTTATCCTATATTTGTCTTCAGTAATATTTGGGAAAAAGGCTCATTAGTACGACCATACAGAGATAAGTCTGGCCATTTCATTCATATGTGTATAAGAAATCTGCAAAAATACACTTAAATATCATGTGTATATGCTTATAAAGTATCGTACTGTCAGGGACACCAGTGGCCCAGTCATCTAAGACATGCTTTTTTCTGTGCAAAGATGCGTCCCTTGGGCATGCCCGAAACCTATAATCATGGGTTCGAATCCTGGATCTCCCTGATTATGTTCTAGGTTTGTCAGCACCATACCCGTGCTCGTGGGTTTCACCGAAGTAGTAAACGTCTGAGACCTGCATCACTTCGGGCTTTCCTCCCACATCAAGCTGACATGCCATGACATAACTGGAATACTGTTATAAGCGGCATAAAACCCAATCACTCACTCATACAGTCAGTTCTATGTTAAGTGGAGAGATGGGTAGCCTAGAAATCAAAACATCACCAAAGGCCCAGGTTTGATTCCCAGCATAGGTACACTCATCTTCCTGAGGCAAGGGTGGTATTTTCTATAGAGGCTAGTGACAACTCAAGCCTCTGGAAGATGGGGTCCAATGTGTGAGCCCATTTCTTGTGTCCCCTGCAGAGATTTTGCTAGAATATTTCCCAAAGCTGTGGAATACCATACCTTCTCACTCTGTTAAATAAAAACATATTTGCTTTACATGTTTCCTGTGTTCTAGACAAAGTCATAATGTCTTTCAGCATAACTGTCTATTTTTCGTTCTGTAAACTCATGTCATGGGATGTCCCTAGTTTCACACATAACCTAGATTTCAAACAAATTGAGTTACGCTTTAGTTAATGTCTTCATTTTTTTGTTTATTAATGTTTATTGGAAAATAAATAAAAACATATTTCCATAAACTTGGTGTTGTAGTTTTGAGTCTTTGAGTATTTACTCGCATGAAAAGGTTAAATTATATGCAAGAATACCACTTTAAATAAAACCATGATAGTGGTTTTGCCTAAACTTGTACATCTTCCTGAGGCAAGAGCATTTACTGATTGTAAAAGTCCAGTTTCAACCCTTGCCGAACAAGGCTGATATTCCAGAGTTACATTTTGGCTGGACTAACGAGTCTATGCACAGTCCAATCAAAATCGCAAAACGAACTATACATCAGGTTCATAAACAATATAGATTTCAATGTGCAGATCTCTGTCGACTGAACTGGGCATAGACAGATAGTTTGCAAATCTCAAGTGATTTGATTCACTTTGCAAGTTAAGAACTGTTTTATTACAGTATAGATCTTGACTATCGGTCAGATGGTCTTGACTGGGCACGGCCATTTTGTTTGAGGCAATTGCAAGTGATACGAGAGGTGGAATCTGATTGGTCAATAGGAGGGACATAGAAGGGAATATCTCGTAACAGCCACTGGTGGTGCTATGATCGAGCCTGGAAATTCCAGCCTAATTCGGCAAGGGTGGAAACTGGACTTTAAAAGTCAGTTAATGCCCTTGCATCAGGAAGATGAAACTTGGTGGGAGCCGGGTTTAGGTGCAATTATTATAGTGGTCATATATACCATGGCATTCTTGCCTGAACTTGGAGAGAAGGAGCCCTGTTGGGATTTCATCTTTGAATAGGTTCTCAGTAACTTATGCTACAGTAAACTATGTTACAACGAACACCCATATAATGACCTGACAGATATAATGAACTGTTTTTGGTCCTGTCTATTTGTTGCATATATACTGTATATATGCTTATAACGAACTGCGGTCATAAATTAAAATTAGTGGTACCTTTTAGTTTGTTATAACCGTAGTTCACTGTAGATGGTGACCGGATGTAAATGGATCATATGGTCAGGCTGTGATGGGTTCTTGTCTTCATACCCAGACCATGTGGGCAGAACTATACTCATAACATCTACCACTGGTTGGTCAAGACCAAATTTGATTATTAACATGCTGTGGTGATATAATTGGAGTATAGTGCTGTAGAGTCCTGGGATAATGCTCCTTAAAATAACTTTCACTCACTGGAGGGAGCAGAACAAAGCTACAGTGTTTCAACTTCAAGAATTCTTATGTTTGCGAAAATTTACAGCTGAATACGTTTTTGATGGATGCACAATTGGAGGATACAGGGGTTCATGACAGCGATAAATATAAAAGAAATATCAATAACATACTATTTATGATTACCGTATTCGACGTAATAAGCGCCCCGCTCTAATAAGCGCCCACGGCGATATTTGTTAATATACTGGCTAGTGAACAATCCTAATTAGCACCCCTTCCGATTGATAAATGTACACAAGGCTATTTATTCGTGCATAATACGTTTGTCATATGCATCCTTAATTATGGGCAATTAAATTCTGGAAAAATATATCTGTCGTTTATAAACATTTCAGCATAAACCACGAAATTTACGCTCTTTGAACTCAAAAATATATATTCTAATAAGAGCCCCCTTTCTAATTTTGAGAGCGCCCTGGGCGCTTATTATGTCGAATACGGTAATATTTATTGTGAGGCCTGCTTAAAATAGAAAGATAAGGCAAGTTAATGAAATATTATTTCTCCTATTATTTTCTTAAATTGACTTTCTTGGGAGGGGTGTGTGTATATTTGTTTTTTATATAAATTCTTTTTCGAAGGTTACAAATCTTTAAAAGCTTGATTCAATAGTACCATGTGACCATGATGATTTGGTTGGTTGGTTGGTTGGTTGGTTTGTTGTTTAACGCCGCACTCAGCAATATTCCAGCTATATGACGGCGGTCTGTAAATAATCGAGTCTGGACCAGACAATCCAGTGATTAATATCATGAGCATTGATCGATCCACGCTATTGGGATCGATGACATGCATCAACCAAGTCAGCGAGCCTGACCACCCGATCCCGTGAGTCGCCTTTTACGACAAGCATAGTCGCTTTTTATGACAAGCATGGGTTCCTGAAGACCTATTTTACCCGAAATCTTCACGGGATTGTGACCATGATGAAGTAACTGCATAATTAGGCTGCTTAGTCTATAAAATAGCAAGCAACATCCACGTATGGGTCAAGACTCCAGTGTGATTGTGTAAAGTGAAGTCAGATGAACTAGTGAAACTAGTGGACTCCTCCCAATGCTGGCTGACAAGGGCAACAACAATAATTTTAGTCTGCCCACAATTCTGTACACAATGTATGCTTAAAGTGCTGCATTATTATTACCCCTGTCAAAGGATCAGTGTGCACTCAATTTTTTATTCTCAACTCCCTGGGAATAATAAAACCCAAGCTGCCTGTGAGACGTTACCAGTCATTACAAACTCATCCTACCAGGTACCCATTCACTGATGAGAGAACAGGCATAATATGAACAAAGCCACTTGCCCAAGGAGACATCACATATGCTACTTGTGCATCAATGTGGGGCAGGACCAAATCCCTAGTAACTCCCAGGAGCCAAGCTGCTGACTGTCCGGGACCAATTTCGCCTGATTTGTGACGTGTGGGCTGTGCAGGACCATATGCCACCATTCTGAAATCCTTGATCTGATTGAATGAGAAGTGATGTTGTAAATACAAACATACAGCAGTTCCGCAGTGATAGACAAATATGTATTTTGACATATATATCTAACATAAAATATTAATTTTAGCGCCAATAACATCTTTAAAACAAAAGCAGAACACCACAACAGGGCCCCTGCAATTATCTCCCCTGATTACCTCCCTTGAAAAGATATTTACCGATGACTACTTCAATTATTAGTAGCTATTGAATGTTAAACATTTACAAGGCTTAATTGTGAAATTTATAAAATTACAGATGCAATAATTAGACTCATTTTAATATGCCGGTCATTGACAGGTATAATAAATTTTCTTTGTGAACGATAATCAAATTGGTATGCTGTAGATTGTTTTTGACAACTACAACATCTAAAACAGCATGGCGGATATGTGGCCAGAGGTGGCAACTGCGAAAGAAGAAAACAGACGAGAACTCAATCTCCACGGTCCAGAAATAAGTGAAAGGATTGAGAAAAGAGGGTTTGATAAGCATGTGTTCGATCTGGTTGGTTTGAATTATCTAGACGTACGGAAAACATGTATGACGGAATTATCTGTTTCTGTTTCGAAGTTGGTCAACCTAAACACGCTGATATTGCACAACAACAGGCTAACGACACTACCGGAATCGGTAGGTGATTTGAAGAAATTGAAATTGTTGGACGTATCTTCCAATAAAATAGAATCTTTTCCAAATCTTGACGGCCTAACTGAGCTGCAGTCTATTAATGCCAGTGGTAACCAGTTATCGGCATTCCCAGGTGTTTCAACCCTCACGAATCTACACATCCTCAATCTCTCGCATAATGAGTTACAAGCACTACCGGACGGGATCGGAGACGACAAGTTGGAGTATCTGGCACAAATCCTCGCTGATAACAACGCCATCACCCAGGTTCCAGATGACTTGGCCAACCTAGTTCGTTTGCATACCCTTGATTTGTCTTTTAACAAAATTACTGAACTTCCCTCCCAACTAAGTGAATGTCAAAAGTTGAAAGAATTTAATGTTAAGGGAAATAAATTCAAAGATAGGAAGTTAACCAAACTGGTGGAACAGAGTCATGGAAAGTCGGTGCTGAACTTCCTTGGCGTTCAACTGCAGAAAGAACAGGCAAGTGAGATGGGTAAAAAGGGAGGAAAAGATAAGAAAAAGAAAAAGAAGAAAGGAGGGTCAAAAGATGAAGTCGAAGAACTGGCTAAAGATATCATTGATGTTCTCCATTTCCCATCAGAAACTGGAATTATTGTTCAAGTAAAACCTGCCGTTCTTTCTGTTCGTCCATATTTTGTCTGTTGTATTGTCCGAAAACTGAATTTCAAGAAGTCTCTTAACATGTTCAAGAGGTTCATCACACTTCAGGTAATACAAATTACTTACTTTTTGTTATTGATTGCATGTTAAACAAAAGTACTAAGCTTTTTTGTCATGTAAATTGTGTCCTATTCTTATGTACAAAATACACAATTTTGTGTTAACATGTATGCACAGAGTTGTGTCCCCTGGGTGTGCCAGAAATTTGTAATTGTGGGTTTCAATCCAGGTTTGCTCTGATCATGTTTCTAGGTTTGTCAGCACCATATTCATCATGTTCATGATCATGGTTTTTACGGGGGCACGGGTGGCCCAGTCGTCTAAGGCGCCGCGATTCGCTGTGCACAGTTGCATCCCTTGGGCACGCCAGAAACCTATGATTGTGGGTTCGAATCCCGGTTCGCCCCAATTATGTTTCTAGGTTTGTCAGCACCATACCCGTGCTCGTGGGTTTCACCAAAGTGGTAAACGTCTGAGACCTGCATCACTTCTGGCTTTCCTCCCACATTAAGCTGACACGCCATGATATGACTGGAATAATGTTAAAAGCTGTGTTAAACCCAACTCACTCAAACATCATCAAGACAACAGCACACTTCTCATGATGATCACAAAAAGAGATGCTTGATGTCGATGGGTGGTCACACTCCTGAACTTTGTTAATTGTGTGTCATTGTGTCTTGATGACGTGGAATGTTGTTTATTATATATATTACTTATTTTTCTGGTACAAACTAGATTATTTACAGACTGCTGTTAAATTGCTAAAATTTTCTCAGTTTATGTGTACACAGGCTGACTATATTTGTTGTGTATTTCTCAGACGAGACTACACGACACAATCTGCGAAAAGAGACAAACTGCAACCATTGCTACACATGACCTCAAACTTGTGAAGCCAGAGCTTGTGTATGATGCCCGCTCCCCACAGGCCATTAGGGTAAGTAGCACAGGCATAAAGATTACCAGAGGCCTCTCTGGTCTGGTGGAAGAGTGTCTGACCAGAGAGCGGAAGGTCCGGGGTTCGATCCCTGGCAGCGTATTACCAAAAGACGTTAAAAGATGGTACTTGTTGTTACCCTGTCTGGCGCTCGGCATTAGGGGGCTAAAACAAGGACTGGTCTGCTCGGAGTCAGTATACTGTGTCTGAGTTGGGTATTCATGTTAAACTGCGGCATGGTATCTCAGTGAGCTAGCACTATAAATCGGCATCAGTCCGGACTAGAACAAGCAGCCACACAAACACACACACATACATGCACGTCGCTATATAAGTGCAATAATCTTGGACGCGACGTTAAACCCCATTTCACCTCATTCTCATGATATGTAAATAAATCTGTAAATAAAAAACCTGGCAACATAATCCTGATGACTACCCTGATGGTGCCCACAATATCATTCACTGGTTTTGTGATCTGGATTCAAGTATATACAGCCTATCTGGAATATTGCTGTGTTGTGGAGTTAAACCAAAAAAAACCCACCCAAATATAATCAACATGTTCTTCCAGGTTGTGCCCTTGTTCAAGTCATCCGAGGTCACAGCTGCAAAGTTGGTTTCTGATCTGCGTAAAGAGGCCGATGAAGTCAGGAAGGAGAAGAAACGGAACACGTTCAGTGGCATTCACAAGTTGGTACCCTTAACTTCCTTCCCACAAACCCATCGGGGTTCTGGGTTAGAATTAGTCCCCATTAATCTGTGCTGGTTGTAAGAGGCAACTCTATGGATCAGATGACTTGGTTCGTTCATTGTCATTGTCGTCAAACAGATGGAATATTTCTGAATGTTGCTGAGGGCACCTGGGATTTTATCCCAAAAAAATAAATTGGCCCAGAGAATGCTTGAAAATTAAAATTACCTTTCAGACTGTTGAAAAAAAAGAAAGAATTTGCTTGACACAAAAATACATTGTTGCAAGATGCTTTTAAAATGAATAAATATTTAGGCTCGTAGTTGTAATTAAAAAACATCTGGTTTTGCAGATGTTGCTTAAAAAAATATCTAGTCTCAATACAGAATCCCCCCCCCCCCAACCCTCGCAACGCACGCACGTACACACTACCCTACCCTACCCTACCCTGAATATGAAATGGTGGGCCCCCAAGTGGATGTTGTTTTCTGATGCCCGAACAATATCAAATGGTGGGCCCCCAAGTGGATGTTGTTTTCTGATGCCCGAACAATATCAAATGGTGGGCCCCCAAGTGGATGTTGTTTTCTGATGCCCGAACAATATCAAATGGTGGGCCCCTAAGTGAATGTTGTTTTCTGATGCCCGAACAATATCAAATGGTGGGCCCCCAAGTGGATGTTGTTTTCTGATGCCCGAACAATATCAAATGGTGGGCCCCCAAGTGGATGTTGTTTTCTGATGCCCGAACAATATCAAATGGTGGGCCCCCAAGTGAATGTTGGTTCCTGATGCCCGAACAATATCAAATGGTGGGCCCCCAAGTGGATGTTGTTTTCTGATGCCCGAAAACAATATCAAATGGTTGGCTCCCAAGTGGATGTTGTTTTCTGATGCCCTTAACAATATCAAATGATGATGAAGACATTTTGGTTTTCCTTTTAACTAGTTCAACTTATGAATAGTAATATTTAGTTGAAAATATTGTTACGATAATCATTTGTACGTTCTCAGCAACTTGATTACGAATTGGTAAAATTTGTGGTTTATTAATTTATCTTTTCTAGATACCTGGATCTGTTGAAGGATAAAGCGCATTACCCGTGCTTGCTTGATGGAGATGGTCATGTGATCTCATTTCCACCAATCACTAACAGTGACAAGACAAAAGTAAGTCTAGTCGTGTTAGGGAAGTTTCAACAAAAAGAAGAATGTATAGTCAAACCATTTAACTTTAATTTAGCTTTTTTTTCTTAATGCGTGGCACTGTGTTGTAAGCTGTCTTAGTGTATATTGTTGACAGTAGCAGTAAACCCCTTCACTCTCTGAAATCGTAAGGTGTTAATCATGTTAATAAGTCTCTCAAGTTTGTGCAGAGTTGTCCCTTAGGCTTGCCAGAAACCTGTGATCTGATCCTAGTCTTGCTCGAGGGTTGCACCAAAGTGTTAAAAGTCTAAGGCTTGCATTGCTTTGTGAGTGAGTGAGTATAGTTTTTCGCCGCTTTTAGCAATATTCTAGCAATATCACGGTGGGGGACACCAGAAAAATGGGCTTTACACCTTGTACCCATGTATGGAATTGAACCTGGGTCTTCAGCGTGATGAGTGAACGCTTTATAATCACTAGGCTACCTGACCACACACATCGCTTTGTGACATGCTGTGTTCCAACTGAAATATTGTTCAAAACAGGGATAAGCACTGGTCTGTTAGTCCGAGGCAAGTAACAATCTAGAAGGACTAGTTGTTTATCCAAAATCTAGTTCTTTTACATAACCACTTGTCCGAAATGTGCTGTGGGCTAGTTGGATTGACCAGTGGAGTCTACTGGTTAAAGCCCCTCACTCACTCTGATGTTTTTCAGATCTCCCAGGACACGACTGACATTCTGGTAGAGGTGACGAGTTCCTCCTCCCTGGATGTGTGTAAGAAGGTGGCTGATGAGCTGCTGCGGGAGATGCTGGTGATGGGGGTGGGGACCCCCGTAGAGGAGGCTGCGGAGGCTGCTGCTGACGGTGGAGAAGGAGATGCTGACGCCATTCAGAAACTGGTTGTCGAACAGGTCCGGGTCATTGATCATGAAGGGGGGTTGAAGGTGGTGTATCCATCTCGCACAGACTTGCCTCTCGACATCTACGAGGTCACCCGGGAGTGAGATGCTGGCGGGATTGTCATCTACCCGGCCTGAAAGTTAAACCCACAGCTGCTTTAAGCTGAGTAACCTGCCTGCCTTAAAATATAAACTTTCAATTGTCGGAAAACTGAAGCTCTTTGTAAAAATTACAAATAAAATGTACAATAAAATGAGAATCGGGTGACCTGGCACATTGTCTGCCACTGTGCCCCAGCACGTCCTCATGCTATCAACCACCAGTTTCCCATGTCAATTCTCCATTGTTTAACTGTGGTTTGACCCCCTAGATTATCTGGCCCAGATCGGATTATTTACAGACCACCGTCATGTAGCTGGTGTATTGCTGAGTGTGTTGAACAAGAAGCACACTCTGTATTCTATTGGCTATGGTGAGTTAAAGTTTGTGTTAAATGTCATGAATGGGCTATTGAGTTCATAGTTTCATGTATTGATGATGTTTCTCTTAGGCGACACTTTTTTTTATTTCTTGGTTTATGGATTTCAAACTCATTTCAAAAGTGAGGTAGGCCAATTCAGAAAAAAAAGCCTTCTAGTGATTTGTTTTACTTGAATTTTGACCTAAAAAGTTAGGTAGGTATGAAAAAAAATATTCTGGAGAAACAAAAGTAAAATAACTCAATTTTTCAAGAACATTTGATTATATCCCTGGCACTAAGCTTGTACAATATAACTGGTCACCAATGCGCTTTGCGTTGACGAGCTTTGATGGATCCCAGTGAGACTTCCCCTTGGTTTACACTCGCGTTGCAAATGAAATCTTTTCTTTTTATGTATTTTTTTAAGTAAAGATCTGCGGTAATAAAAAAAGGAGTGATTTGTATTTTTGTATTTTTTCAACATTTGGACTTTGAAAGAGCGGCGCATCTGTAAACCATGTAATATAAGAAATGTTGCCTGATGGGAGTTCTTCATTTTGTGTGCAGTTGTCATATTTCAGACCAGAGAAATTTACTGGTGCTACATTTGCAATAATATGGGAAATTCTGCTAGAATGGAGAATATGAATAGAGAAATATGTTCTTGGGTATGGTATAACGAAACCTTTTTTGTGAAATCAAACAAAAATGAACTTATTGATATCAAACTGGTATTGAGAAATTATTTTGATTGTCTATGAATTTTCAGTCAAATGTAATATGATTGATATCTATTGACGATTCATCAAACTGTCTCTTTCATAATCTTGTTTGTTTATTACTGTTTTAGTTGCAGGGAGATCATGTAGGTTTGTTGGATGAAATGAGGCATGTTTAAATCTTGTCTCGTTGGTGGAGAATTAAAGATTGTGCTACCACAGTGAAAGATTTACATAAGTAAATCATGTACAAACTTTTGAAACAGTCCCTCATGCCATTTGTTTTGTTGGTGTCAATGTAAACATTGAATTGAGCTATTTATTTTTCAGATAGTGCTATCTATTGATCAGGAAGTTTGTTTTGATTTTTAATAGAGAAAAGAAATGAAATCTGTAGCTTGTTGGTTTGTTAGTATTTAGGGCTGACCTGGGCAAGTCATCCGTCATCTTCCATAAACTTTTACTTGTACATGGACTTCTTCTCTGAAATGGATAGATCGATTCAGCTGACATTTTGTGTTGATGTTTGTTAAGATAAGGTGATTCAAGTTTGTTTAAGGAATTAAACTTTGAAATCAAATATGGCTGCCAGTGGCCATATTGGAAAATACAAAAGTGAGTCATTCATCATAAACATCATCCCCTCAGTGGGCCAATGAATCTAACACTTGACATGCTTGTTCTCACAAATGATGATATCTGAATATGTTTAAGAGGTTCAAATCTGATTTCAATAACAGCACCTGCAACCAATTCTTTTTTGAACGTATATAAGGTTCAGAGTTGAAACTAGGTGTAAAATAAAATTAGCGGTTGTGTATTGCAGCAATGTTCTGCGTTAATATGTTCCATCTTGCAGACTTAGAAACATTTCGAAAATTTAGTTTTTTGTTTGTTGATAATTTTGTCCTCGATATTTATACTGAAAATATTTGAATAGCAATGCTGACAGCAATTTTTATAAAGAGGCTCTGTTTGTTGCAGTTGTAAATGTTGACTACAGTATCAGGTGAGCTACAGTGCCTTGGCACTTTTTTTTATGTTATCAAAGGATTTCTGGTTAATTCTATAAAAGATTTTGTTTTCAACAGAGTGATACTGAAGAGGCTTTACAGACAGTACCTACTCAAACATTACCATGCTTCCCAGACAGGCAGAAAAATATCACCTTGCATTTCATGTTGTCCAGTGTTTATGACCAGGAACAATAATTTCAAGAAGTGGCCAGAATAATATATTTTATTTTATTATGGAAAGTACACCCTACATTTTGTAAAATAATCAATAAAATGACATAAGAATTAATGTTTAATGTTGTGCATATTTCTGTTTTAAATTTTGTTACAGCTTCCATTTCAAGAGATGTTTTTCAGACCACAAGTCTCACTTTGATATCTTTAAAAGTATATGTCCCCTATCATGGCACTAGGTCGGGGCACATTGATTTAGAAAAAAAATTAAAAAGGAAATCAGGGAATGTTTGAATTATTTTTCAAGATGACTATATTATTGTGATGGAAGTACATTTTTGAGAGGCATATTATTATCTTCTCCAGTTGTCCTCTGTTACAAAGCAGGTCACTGGTGAATTGAAGTTATCAAGTTCCAGGCAAGCACACAAGCATGGGATGTATCATTCAGGATCATCCTGAATCATATGTCCTGTTCCTATTAAAATTTGTCTATGATATAATTTTTTCGTGATTTATATTCTTGATGTCTTTTCTTTCAATAAAATTGTTCAAATATCTTTTGTGTTACTGTAATCCTTCAGACGTAGCTATCTTCCCGAGGCAAGGGAGTTAACTGACTGTAAAAGTTATGTCCCTTCTAAGCCTCTCCTATGGACCAATCAGATTCCAACTCACGTATCACTTGCATCTGTTTCACACAAAATGGTGACACCCGGTTAGGACGATCTGATCGATAATCAAAATCTATAATATTGTGATAAAACGGGTCTTACATTTGATACTCAAATACAGCCAATTCTATTGTATGGATCTGAAGTGTGGGGTTACCGAAGATATGAATGTTTAGAAAGAATTCACCTACTGGGCATGTAAAAGTTTCTTCGCGTTGGAATAGCAACACCAAATAATATGATATATGGAGAATGTGGAAGATACCCACTTTACATTAATTCGCAAATAAAGTGTTTAAAATATTGGTTATAATTGGTTATAAAATAATATCATCCGTATGCCAGAACATCGGCTTCCGAAAAAAGCTTATAACATGCTCTTTCATTTAGATAGTATCGGTAAGGTTACATGGGTATCGCATATTATGACTATTATTCTCACATGGATATGGGTATATATGGCTTAACCAATCTGTTGGTGATCAACATTTATTTCTAAATGATTTTCGTAAAATAGCAATAAATATGTTCTATCAAGGGTGGCAATGCAACTTGGAAAACAGTTCACGTTATGATTTGTACAGAACATTTAAGACTTTATTAGAGCCAGAAAAATATCTATCAGTTTAACAAATAGTCACCTAAGAAATGTTTATATTAAATACAGACTTGGCTTGTTAAAACTTATGATTAATTATGGACGGAATATATCACTTGAAAGAATACAACTCTGCTATAGAAGACGAAATACATTTTACCTTTGAATGTCCTTATTATGCAGAACTACGTACTAAATATATACCAGAATGTTTCTTATCTAAGACGAGTAGAATAGCGTTTGTTTCTATTTTGTCATCGAATGATGCCGACGTAATGTTTAAACTGTCTTTATTTGTAAAACATGGGATGGAACTACGAAATAATATGTTGAGTGGAAATTCAGAATTTTAATAACCTTACCCTAGAAAGTCCTCATGATTATCACCGATTGTTAAATGAATGTTATGTTTTTATCATTTTTGTTGTATCTCCCAATCTGTAAATTCTCACCCACTGTATTTATCTGAACTTGTATATGGGCCGATGGCCTTTGATACAATAAACATCTTTGACTTTGACTGGAATATATATTTTAGTTCAATCTCATATATGATCTAACCATGTGTTACCTGATACCTATAACGTGTGATAGTGGACTTGATGCAATAATTGATTTGATGAAGTAACTTCCAGTAAACAAGGCTAGTGGTCCAGATAACATTAATCATAGCTTATTGGAACATATTGTCCATTCTATAGACACTCCGTTGTATTTAGTGTTTTATTTGCCTTCACTTAAGCAAGAACTTCCTCATCCGTGGAAATTGACACATGCCATTTCTCTATAAAAGAAAGGGGATAAACATTTACCTTCCAATTATAGACCTGTTCCACTACTATCATGATCCATAAAGATCCATGTTACAATAGTTAATCAGCAACCCATGCTTGCCATAAAAGGCGACTATGCTTGTAAGAGGCGACAAGCGGGATCGGGTGGTCAGGATCGCTGACTTGGTTAGTGCATGTCGTCGATCCCAATTGCGTGGATCGATGCTCATGATGTCAGTCACTGGATTGTCTTGTCCAGACTGGATTAATTAAAAGACTGCCGCCATACAGCTGGAATATTGCTGAGTGTGGCGTTAAGCAACAACCAAACACTACTGTCGTGTATCTGTAAGGTTTTTGGGTGAATCGTTTTCACGAGATTGTATAAGCATGAAAAAGATCATAACTTGCTGTGTAAATATCAATCAGGATTTATACCAGGACACTCAACAACATTTCAACTGCAAGAAATGTTCTATCAAATATTTAAGTCAATTTATACCAGCACGAATATTTTAGCATGTTTTTTTCTGATATGTCTAAAGCTTTTGACAGAGACTGGCATAAGGGTTTATGACACAAGTTGAAACAATATGGTATTAGTGATAATCAGGTTAAATGGTTTCATAGCTCTCTCGCTAACAAACGGCAAAGATGTTAAGCGTTGTCTCACCAGTGAACAAATACTATACTCGCTGGTGTCCCTCAGGGACCAGTCCTCGTGGCATTATTATTTATTTCCACTAATGGCATATGGTAAGAAATGAGAAATTTAACACGTTTGTTCGCAGATGATACCAATATTGGCATATAAATATTAATCTCCTGTTATTAAGCACATTGACAACTCCACGAATAAAGACCTATTCCAATTATGTTATTGGGCACAAACATCGTTGATACAATGCAAACCTACCAAACCATTTATACATCAAATCCCAGATGAAATACCATCAATAGTTCAATAACACATGTATAAGGAAGGGTAGACTGCCACAAGCACCTTGGTGTTACAAAAAAATGATTTCATCCATGCGAAAAGCTAAATATCGGTAAAGCTGATCAAACTTGATAAAATATATATCTATAGTGTTTTATCAGACCGACATAAAAATATGCCACAGTTGTCTTGAAGCAGCAAGAACAATAACAGTCTCAGCCTATATCAAGAAACTGGATGGCAGCCATTAACGTATAGAAGAAACGTCAACAAACTTTATAAAATAATTAATCAGCAATGCCCTTCATATAGAACTGATCTTACACCGCCATCTATCTCAGAACGTCAATTACAAATACAATCTCAGAAACCGCCAAGATTTTGTAGTACCGTTTGCACGGACATCTACGATTAAAAGGCCCTATGTTATAGATACATTGGGCCAATTGAATAATCTACCATTAGAAGTAAGGGATAGTTCGTCATTATCTTCTTTTAAAGCTGTCGCACTGGAGCAGTCCCCCTCACCACATATATACCATAATTGCGGTAGGGGATATACAAGCATACTGCGCACAAGACTGGGATACAACTGTATCACATTAGATTTCAACCTGTTTCATGTTGATTCATCTGATTCTTTTTCCTGTAAATGCAGAGCCCCTTGTAAAAAATTCATTCCATTTCTTTTTTGAATGCATTTTATATGATGACTTTAGGAAGACATTATTTTCAGCTGTTGATAATCTTAGAGGCCAAAAAACGCTACACAGTATTTTGTTGGTGACTCAAACCTATACGTTTTACTGAATACAAATATGTTCTTGTCTGTACACAAATATATAGAAACGACTAACAGATTCAGTCGCTCGCATAATATTATTGTTTCTAAATTGGTAATCATTAATATTGTCAAATCTATATCTAAACACTAAACTGTATAATATTTGCGCGTGCACGCTTTTCTCACTTTCCAGCACATTGTACATATCCCTTACATCAGCACTGTATACATACTGTGCATTATGTTTCCACAATCTTAAGCTTCAAGTGTAAATTGTCTTGTAGAGGTAAGCAGATTCATTCATAATCGTCACAGGTAGGGGCGGTCGGGTAGCCTAGTGGTTAAAGCGTTCGCACGTCACGCCGAAGACCCGGGTTCGATTCCCGAGATGGGTACAATGTGTGGAGCCCATTTCTGGTCTGGTGTCCCCCGCCGTGATATTACTGGAATATTGTTAAAAGCAGCGTAAAACTTCACACACTCACTCCAAATGTCCTTATTGAGGGTCTTACTTCCCATTAACTCTCGAACTACGTATAATCCGAAATTCGAGTTAATAGCGAGAATTCGGTGAATTTATTGATAGTTTCCAGTGATAAGCCATGTTTCGGACCTTGGCGACAGTAATGTGACAAATTAATAATACCGTTTAATGCACGCGTTTAGTTACGCGAGTGAAACTGGGTTATCTGCCCTTGTCAGGATGCCGGCATCCATAGCAACAGTTACTAGGTGTATCCACGAACGTCCGCGTTTTGTGTATAAACGTCGCAGCAACTCGGCGTGATGTCATTGCTCTCCTGCATCAGCTATAACATTCGTGACCACTTCGTGTTATTCCGGGACGATTATTGCAGGTTACGGAAAGGCGCGAGTGTTGACGAATGCAGCTACAAGTAACATAGACGTCACATCGCTTGTTGCGTCACACCATTGTTACCACACAAATACTTCTCTGGTCATCTGCAGCCATGGTCCAAAGACTGAGAGGAGAAGGTATGTGGAACATGGCGACCTATTAGTTGTGTTTGCAATTGACATTCATATATGTTTGTTTGGTCCAACGCCGCACTCAGCAATATTCCTAGTGCCTCCAACTATATGACGGCGGTCTCTAAATAATCGAGTCTGGACCAGACAATCCACTGATTGACACAATGAACATCAATCCACGCAATTGGGATACGATGACATGCTTCAACCAAGTCAGCGAGCCTGACCACCCGATCCCGTGTGTCGCCTCTTGCGACAAATATTGTCTCCTTTTACGGGAAGCATTGGTTACTGAAGACCTATTCTTACCCACATCTTTACGGGTCTGACATTCATAACATTATTCTAATGATAATTGTAAACCTATAGAAAGTGTGTTCTGTGTTGTGATTGGCTAATTTGGGTCACATGACCAAATGTCAAAGGGTGAAAATATGATTTGCATTCCCCGAAGGAAGCGAAAGCAAAGGGTGAGTAAGTACGGGGTGTTAAAGAGTGCGCATGGTTTTTTTTGGAAATTTTCATTCGAGCCCCTCAAGCTAACGCTTTCGGGTCTCTAGATGAATTTCCAAGATGCAAATACTCGATAAAATCCCGGAAATAGACACACACATAGTATTTATCTTCTAATTGATAACTGTGTTGAATCTACTGATAATATTTGTGAAGAATCGTGACAAAGTAGGTTGTGTGACCTTTCCCCTTTCCTACTTCTAATAACTTTCTACTCTGTAATTAGCTTACTTACTTACGCACCGAAAACGTGGAACAATGTCATGATTGTAGCAATCTCATTTTCAGAAGGGCAGGAGTTTGATTTACGGAATGCTCGCCTGATGTACGATGATGATCCTGATCTGGCTATACGAGAAATTAAGGTGTGTATAATGGTTAACAGGCGCAAATTATAAACTGTAAGCAGAGCGTTTATAAAAAAAACAAACCACCAAACAAAAGCTGTTTGTGATAAAAACGTATTTAATAAATAACGATGCTATCGTGTAATTAAGTTGTACCACAAGATCCTGTTTTTCTTCTTGAAGGGACGTGTGATTCAGTCGAAACTTCACCCAGTCCTGTCCAGGAGTACCAAGACAAGTCGCCTGCAGACCACGCTACCTGACACACCCTCCCACATTACCAAGTCGGTGGACGGTAGATATCTCGCCCATCGGGAACATACCTTCAATGATTTCAAAACGGCCGCAGATTTGTCTGCCGCGGGGGATACTTCCCAGACTCCAGTTGCCAACAATGTGTCATTCGTAGGAATGGGTTCTTCAAGTCTGACACAGTTTGGACTCTGTAACACTTCCAGCACGCCAAATACCAGTGTGATCAGTAGAAGTGGAAAGACAAAAAAGACGTCAAAACTCGCCAGGCTGTTCTGCGACGTGCGCCATTTCTTCCGCCCAAACCGTCGCCATGAACGTGAAGGGTGGATGAGCCTGTAGACATTCACTGCCGTGCTCTCATCTATAGTACTATAAATTTGTGCTATTTTTGGACTTTACACCAGTGCGAGTTAGGAAATTGAAAAAGTGCCATTATTGATCTATACAAAATGTTCGTACTACATTGTGTGGGTGATCTTCCTGCATATTGTATTATACAATTGTTTTAAATTGTATTGTTATTCTGACATCTATAAAGTTGTTTATGTTCTATGTACAGGATGCTGTGATGTTGAGGTCCGCTGACTGTATTAACGTATTCCCAAAGTAATCCTCTGACATACATTATCACCATAGACGATTGTGTTTCTTCTTTGTTATATAGCCAACGCCCTGTCTATTCGATTCAAGTATATTCTTTTGATATTTAATATGATCGGGAAAAAACTCCAAAACCTTACACGATCCTTTCCTTCTCAAATATGCAGAAAGACCAAAGTAGCAATACACAACAGTAACATTTACAACAAACATTAGATCCGTGAAGATTCGGGTTAGAATAGATCTTCAGAAAACCATTCCGACTCAGCAATATTCCAGCTATGTGACGGCGGTCTGTAAATAATCGAGTCTTGACCAGACAATCCAGTGATTGACATTATGACGCTATTGGGATCGATGACATGCATCAACCAAGTCAGCGAGCTTGACCACCCAATCCCGTTAGTCGCCTCTTACGACAAGCATAGTCGCCTTCATCTTCCCCAGGCAAGAGAGTTAACTGACTTTAAAAGTCCAGTTTCCACCCTTGTTGAACTTTGCTGGTATTATGGAGTTACATTTTGGCTGGACTAACGCGTCTATGCATAGTCCAATCAAAATCGCGCAACGAAATCGAAGTCCTCTTCGTTCACTGTCGTGCAGATTTCGGGCGATTGCAGGAATTGCAAAGCATGTGCACTGCCAACTCGTTGTCAACAGATATTTTCCAAATCTTTTCATGTTTTTAATCAAGGTACTCACGTGATTTGATGCTCTCCGCGATGTATGACCCGTTTTATCACAATGTAGATCTTAATTATCGATCATATCGTCTTGACTGGGCGCCGCCATTTTGTTAGAAGCAAATACAACTGATACGAGAGGTGGAATCTGATTAGTCCATGGAGAGGCATAGAAGGGGCATAACTCGTAATAGCCACTGGTAGCTCTTCGATCGAGCCCAGGGATTCCAGGACGATAGGACCATTCCCGATTACAATTTGTCAAAAGTCTGATCCAGATCCTGTGGTTCGTGAAGGGAAATTCACAAACAGTCAGATATTGTTCAGGAAGCGTCCCGATTCAGCCGAATTCGTCCCTATTCTCCCGTTCTCACTCCGAATCTGATCCGATTTGTATCATCCGCATGGTACAAAACGACCGAATCTGTCCCGACAGCTTTCCGATTCTCCCGAATGCGATCCGACAGAGATCAGACAGTGAACCGACAAAGACGGTTCGCATTCGGTAAGATCTGGACGCAATCTGGACTCAATCGACAAGAAACCAGAATGAACAATTCATGCCCATTCATCACGACAGCGTCCCGATCCACAGGACACCGTCGAGACAACACAGGACATTGTTACGATTTTGATCCGATACAGAAGAATCTGTCATGACATAGTCACGATTGTAATCCGACTAGACAAAATCGGCTGAGTTTCCCGAATGTTACGGGACGCACCTTACTGTCGGGAGTGCTTGGCCGACCTCTCTGGACCTATCCCGATCCGTAGGACTCTGTTACCAAAGTATACGACTGCGTTAGACAATGATAGGACCTTCTAGTTCTTTGTGGATAGAAATCCGACTTTTACACTTTTCGTGTCTTAGCGCTGTCTGGTTTGCCATAATCGGCACTGTGTGAACCTGGCCTTAAAGTCAGTTAACACTCTTGCTTCGGGAAGATGTGAATGAGCATACTCCTTTTACCACTGATTAAAGTTGATTGGCCTTATTCATCCTAGAGTAGGGCAAAATTTCATTCAAAATTGTGATTTCAGTTTGAGGGGATGAAGATATGTTGTAGAGTCACTGAACCATCAGAAATCCCCATGTGGATACATTCAGTCGATAAGTAACCGTTGGTGTTATTTGGTGGTGAGTGCGCTAGTTGAGTTTAACGCCGCTTCAAACAGTATGCCCGTTCAGCATGTCGTATTAGAGTTTTGTTTGTTATGTTGTTGTTGTTTAACGCCGCACTCAGCAATATCCCAGCTATATAACGGTGGTCTATAAATAATCGAGTCTGGACCAGACAATCCAGTAATTGAGCATTGGATCACCGCAATTGGGATACGATTACATGCATCAACTAAGTCAGCCAACCTGACCACCCGATTTATATTTTAAAACATTTTTTTCAGGGCATACATGTCCAGCGAAAATCATTTGTTTGTGAAATCAAAGGCAAACAATATCTATTTTAAGAAAACAAATATTTTCTTGAACAATATCTATTTTTAAAAACAAATCCGAAGCTATTATCAGTATGACGCTTTACGTCCTGCAGTATTTCAATCCCCCGGCTCACCTCATTCTACTCACCTCTGGCAACATTCAAAGGGATCCATATTGCAACTGAATTCAATAGTTTCATTAGTTCACGTGACTATCACATTACACAACACACGCTGGCGGCAGTCGTGGCCCTGCTGCATATCAAATGTTATCATACCTCAAAATGAGATTGACCAATCAGAGAGCAGAACTGCTAATCCCATATGACTTTATTGATAAAGATTATAGTTCAAATTTTCAACAAGGTTTGACCTCTAAGGTTTGAAATGTAGTTCCCTTTGACTTTCAAGGGTTGTAAGTGTCAAGTTTTCATTTTGACATGACATAATAAATTCGTTGACGCCTCGCCCAATATTTTTCTACTAACCTTATATGACACCGTATACAGCAACTAAAGATACCATCACTAATAATATACCTAATTTCTATCAACCAGCTAAAAAATTTTTTAAATAGGCCGCCATGTTGTACGAACTTTATGAACGAGCATATGAAACAATCTCCCCCATTCCACCCTAATTCCATTCTCGTCTCTATCAGCCAATGCTCGTCGCATTCTCGGTGTTCTTAATACTAGAGGGCGGCACGGGTGGCCCAGTAGTCTAAGGCGCTACGATTCGCTGTGCAGAGTTGCGTCCCTTGGGCACGCCAGAAACCTGTGATTGTGGGTTTGAATCCCGGTTCGTCCCGATTATGTTTCTAGGTTTGTCAGCACCATACCCGTGCTCGTGGGTTTCACCTTAGCGGTAAACGTCTGAGACCTGCATGACTTCGGGCTTTCCTCCCATATTAAGCTGACACGCCCTGATATAACTGGAATACTGGAATAAAAGCGGCGTTAAACCCAACTCACTCACTCACCTTAATACTAGAGTATTCCTTAATAAAATTATTTGTAATTAACCTTATACAAAACTTATTCCATGGACTCATATATACATATACTACTTGTCCATGCATGCCGGAAAAGGCAACTATGCTCGTCGAAAGAGGCTCGCTGACTTGGTTGATGCATGCCATCGTATCCTCATGATGTCAATCACTGGATTGTCTGGTCCATACTCGATTTTGTACAGACGGCCATCATATAGCTGGAATATTGCTGAGTGTGGCGATAAACAACAAACAAACAAACAAACAAAACACCAGCAGAGGTTGTTTGAAGCTGCAGTAAAAGGTTTTAATATGCCATATTGGCTTCAGCGGATCCATGTTTTATGTGTTTTATTAATAAAATAAAAAAACATGCCTGTTGTCAATGCTTTCATTCTAACATCGACGTAGGGTTAAAGTCTGGAGTGGCGATGTGCCATTCCATATGTAAGTATAATAGACATATTTTGGATACTAAAATTTGTCCCTATTGTCATACTGAAGATGCGTATGCTTTGCTTTTTTATGTGTACAAATCACTTTATTGTTCCAAGTGAAATGTATTTTTACCAACATGGTTACTCTTTACAAACAGTGCTTTACGGAAATTCGTATTTGAGTAAGGAAGATCAAATCCAAATATCAGATTCTATTCTAACTTCTTTTTAAAAACTAGCAGGTTTTCAGTTAAGTGAAGGAAGTGATAAATGTATAAAATGCAAATATATTTATCATATATATATACACGTCTAGTTTCTCATGTACAATCCATTGGTTACATTCCACCTTCACTTATGTATCAACTGTATTATGTGTCATGGAGTGGAATTAACACAAGCGATCGCTTGTTTACCAATCCATTTTCATATATTTTTTGTGAAAATAACTATGTTTAAATCATTTGGACAAACATAAAAAAGATAGATGCTGATGATGGTGTTGGAAATTTAAAAGTCATCCAAGGGAATCGATTTCGCACTTAACTCAAATCAGGGTCGCAAAATGACATTATATTATATATTATACATATTTGTTACACTAAAGCCACACTCAATACTCCGCGCTTTGTGATGGCGGTGAGAGCATAGGATTATGTCCCCACGGGGACAATTCCCCTACTCGGACATATTCCCACTTGACAATTCCCCAACTCGGACAATTCCCTACTCGGACATTTTCCCATTCGGACAATTCCCCACGCGGAAAATTTCCTTCTCGGACAATTCCCTACTCGGACTATTCCCCGCTCGGACGATTCCTCAATCGGACCATACCCTACTGGTACAATTCTCCACTCGGACATTTTCCCACATTTTCTCACTCCCCACATAGAATAAGTTTTATTTCCAAACAATAATAATACGAATGCTAAAATATTCATCATCACTTCTCAAGTTTTCTTTAATGTCACCAGCTGGAAGCTGTCGCAGATGAACACGATTCTAACCAAATCTGATCTTTTTTGACATAGAATGCATGAACTGATTGAGTGACCTGATTCCATCAACCTGAAGGGATTACGCACAGAGAAAGAAAGCATTAAACACCCTATATATATATAGGGTGTTTAATGCTTTCTTTTTATATATACCAATTTCCTCTCTCTCTCTCTCTCTCTCTCTCTCTCTCTCTCTCTCTCTCTCTCTCTCTCTCTCTCTCTCTCTCTCTATATATATATATATAGGGTGTTTAATGCTTTCTTTATATATATACCAATTTCCTCTTATAATAAACGTTAAGTTAGGTTTTCCCAGTGTATACAGTGGAATAGATATTAATGAGGGGTGTGGTTACAGTGGAGTGGAGATATCCATTTTGTTGCCGAGGACCAATTCTAAGGAGGAATTCCCCCACGTTACAACATGTATACCCCCCCCCCCCCAACAATCACTGATCCAATCCAACCCCCAAGCAGAACAAAGAGTTTAATTATGTTTAACTCGCCTGGGTAGATGTCGGGCAAAATTAGGTCGACTCTTTGACTCTAATTTGAGGGTTTATTGGCCCCTTTGTCTGTAATAAAGAAAGTGAGGTGGCAGTACGCAACTCGGCGTGTTTAGCAGGTTATTACAATCCTATTGTGTATAGGTGTCAGCGAGACCTAATTAGCATTTCACACAGGCAGGTGCAACAAGTTACCACTTCTATACTGGGACCTTTCATCCCAACACAATTAATACGCAGGAAGCAGTGAGCAGGGGACGGAGGTTTGGAGTGAGTGTAACGGACATATGGATGGAACTGTTTTATGAATGCCAGGTATTATATGACAACACAGAAGACTCCCTGATAATACATAAACAGTAATAACCACTTAGTGGTATCAAGTCTTGAAAGGCATTTAGAAGTGATACCTATAAGGAAGAGAATTTATGAATGTCAACTTCTTTATTATGAGGAACACAACGTTTCGGAGTATATACTTACTCCTTCATCAAACGTTGTGTTCCTCATAACAAAGAGGATGACATCCATAAATTCTGTTCCTCACTAAGAGGTTCTAACAAAGCTGTCGAGGAAAAGTTGGTACTTGTACTTGTACAAGCAGCCACACACACGTGCATGCACGTCGATCGCTTTATAAGTGCAATAATCTTGAACGCGACGTTAAACCCCATTTCGCCTCACCCGTTTTCTTAGTGGAGTGTTAAACAGTTCGTTTCACCATATTATATATTATAATTATAATTAGTTGTTTAGAAAACATTTACGTATACATCCTCATATCCGCATTATGATAGTTTGTATGTTAAATGCATTTAATCTATGACGAAAACGTTTCCAAATGTAATATATTTCAAAGTGATCTGGTGTATTCAAGATAAAAAATGTTGTTTCTTTTCTCAAATATTGTACAGAGACAGTTGTCTTATTTTTGAGTGCATCATAATACTAAATAAAAATAATTAAACAATTCCACGACGATCCTGCAAAAAGCGGCAGTACTTCAGTCAGTTCTGATTTATTGTTCACAGTTGTAAATCAGGTGAGTTACCTCCCCGGAAGTATATCGATCCCAAAGTTCCTGTTGCCAGCGCCGCCATATTTCTCGACTGAAAGCAACGACGCCAACAGGTATCACAAAGGTAACAAAGAAAATCGTCCAAAACAACAGTGACATATGACTTTTGTGTAGAACTTTCAAATGTGTATGTGCCTTCTATCACGACAATGAGTACAGACACAAGGACTGCTAATTCTGGGAAGAAGAAAGGTGGTGGATTTTTATCGCGTCAGGCGAAAGCGAAATCACAGACTGAATATTTAACAGAGGAAGAACTTTTGAAGAGGGACGTTGTGACGCCTGATGATGTATTACGACTTAGTAAAACCACAGAGAGTAAGTGTTTGGATTATTATTTGGTTTAACAATTGATTTGCTTTCAGTGTGCAATTTGGTAAACAATTTCTTGACCTAATTTCTCTATGGATATTGATGTAAACAAAGAAATATTTCCCTGTATTGTTGATATGAATAGGTCAAAACATCCAACTGATTGTATAATGCTAGGGAAAAGGTTGGATGCTTGAATTCCCGTGATTGTTATATCACAATCTTTCACGGAATATCAGTTAATATGTGAAAGTTATCTTTGACAACTGTTTCATTATGTATTGGTAGCTGAGAACGGACTGGATAATATTGTTGCAAATTGTCAAGATCTGTCACTGGATCTTTGACAAAGTGCTTACTCGTATGTGGCAGTTTGTTATGTCAATACCAAATACACTTCATTGTGAAAAGGGTGTAGGAATATTCAATTCGACCATCTGAATCTATATCCTGATCATCTGGGCATTGCCATGATCCTTTTGATAGCGCATTTTCCTCCTTAATTTATGCGATGTTCATGATGTAGACAAACTTATCCTAATTCTGATTGATAACAGTGACATGTCTTGAAAACACAGAACATAAGCAATACACGATAACTAACCCTACTAAATGGTTAATAATTACAATACTGTGTGCTCATGAGAACTAAAAATCAATGAAATCTGTCAGCTGTTTTGCCATTAGTGAATGTCCTTTGACAAGTTGAAATAATGTGGATTGATGTCCCAATTTACTTTGTCAGCGATTAGTTTAGCTTAAGGGGAAGTAGCTATTATAATCATGATAATGCAACTGTTCAATTATGTTGCAATAGAATGTGAGCAATATGAAGACGCATAAGATTAAGAGGATGCACCTTATTAGTTATTTTTATATCTTTCATGAATGTAAGTGTGTAACTCTCTAGTTTAGTAACTGCAGGAGTATACATTGGTATACACAGTTCCCACACCATTTCCTTAAGGAAATAATTACCAAGCATCTGTTACACTTACAGTCTTTAATAAATTGTGACAGTAGTTTGAAGTCTAACATATAATATGTAACATTTATGTGACGCGTAAAACCCTGCTTCATATATAACCTGGACCAATACACTACCATAGCTTCGTATTGAGTCTGGTTGGAAGGATGCAATAGCTCTTGCAGTGTCTGTAAGTCATGGACTTACTTTTCTTGGCAAGTCATTATTGTACATAAGTAAAGCAAGTTTTGTGGTCAATGAGTAACAAAACAAAATAAGTGGTTATGGAGCGACTGATAATCTCCTTTTCAGTCCTGTCTGGAATTTTGCTGGATAAGGGGAGTTTCAGTTCAGAAGTGGAAGATTAGTGCTGAAGAGAAAGTCCTCATTTCCTATCAGAATTGGAAAAGCCCCCCTGTATTATATAAACTCTTGAACTTGGTTTCTGTTTTTCAACATGATACATTAAGTCATATATACATCAAGTAAAACAAGACAAGAAGCATGTGTATAGTGAATCCTATTTTCTAAAAAAAACTACAGCCGTGTTGGGATGTGTGCACATCTTATACATACAGACATATTGTTTTCATTCCCTGAAGCATCAGCCTGGAGAGCGGAAGGTCTGGGGTTCAATCCCCAGCCGCATCATACCAAAAGACATTAAAAGATGGTACTTGTTGTTACGCTGTCTGCCACTCGGGATTAAGGGGCTAAAACAAGGACTGGTCAGCTCGGAGTCAATATACTGTATCTTAGTGTGGTATTCATGTTAAACTGAGACATGGTATCTCAGTGTGCTAGCACTATAAATCGGCATCAGTCACTATCTAAGTGCAATAATCTTGGACGCGACGTTAAACCCCATTTTACCTCACCTGGCATGTCAACAAATGTGTACAGAAGTATGCCAGTTTGTCCTCTTACTATATTGTCTGGTTATAAAAGTGTTCAGTGCTTTTCCATCTTTACGTGTTTAATCCATTTTATTTATTTATCCAACATTTTCTTCATTTCTGTTAACCTTTATTTTGGCAGGTTGCTCCAACTCTACATTATTTAAAGCAACCATTATCATGTTACCTCTATATGTACCTTGGAACGAACCTTAGTAGTCAGTGTGAATCATAAGTGACATGAATTGACTCATGATAAGTCATACTTGTTTGCTAGTTTGATGATATTTAGTCAGTAGTTTGTTTTTCACACATGTGTTCTAGGGCTGATACGACAGGGAATCTAACATATTCTTCTCGGTAAAATACCAATATCAGATTTTATTTCTCCTGAAATCATATCATTTGAGGTTTTTTTATGTTTCACTGATTCACCAGGAGCTAACAGACATTACAAGGTTTTATATACGAAAATCACACACCTGTACTGATCATTTCTGATACACAATGTCTAGTGTATTGTAAATAGCCCAGTAATTGGGACGTACGTGCATGGTTTATTGTCCCTGCTGTGTTTTATTGTACGATAAACAATGACCACGAGTCATTTATTTCTTATATGTGAGATATCAACATTATGTACAGCCCAGCGTTAGAAATTAGCACTAGTCTTATAGTCCTTACCAATTTGTCCAATAGTTAAGGTATCATAAGGACTAGTAGAAATTTGCCAATTTTAAGGGTTTTTCTATATGCTATCATTGTAAGGACTAGTGGACTAAAACTGTTAGTTTCTACCCCTGCTGACAGCTTCTTTAAGGGTGTTGATAAAACATGCAAGCTTGATTAATATTTACCCCAATTTGACTCCCTGAATAGAATTAAGCCTTGGCAATGTCGGACAAATTCATTTTATGAACAGGTGGGTTAAGTTTGGTATTTCCAACGTATTCTTTTGATCCTCACGTTGATTATCTGTACCTTTCCCCCAACACTGATTGTCAAATCTCTGCCACTTTTTTGACGGAATCGTTCGGCCATTGTGTTTATCTATGTTGCCCCACTACATCCTAGGGGAACAACTCACTGGACACTTCCCTCTAAAAAATGACGTCTAATATATCATGATATATGACATCATCAAGCTGCGAGCTCATATTCAAATCTCCAGAAATGACGTCCTGATAGAACAATGTTTTATCGTGAAGTAGTTTGTATGAGAGATGATACTGTCTATCACAAGACATGATAATTCTTGTAAGTCCCCAAGGACGGTCGGGTAGCCTAGTGGTTAAAGCGTTCACTCGTCACACAGAAGACCCGGGTTCGATTCCTGACATGGGTACAATGTGTGAAGCCCATTTCTGATGTAAAACTATACTCACTCACTCGTAAGTCCCCCAAATATTGTCAAGTGATCAGACTGCATGTCATCGATCTCAATTGCGTGGATCGATGCTCACGATGCCTATCACTGGGTTGTCTGGTCTAGACTCGATTATTTACAGACCGTCGTCATATAGCTTGAATATTGCTGAGTGCGGCGTAAAACAAGAAACCAAACCAAACTTTCAAATGAAGCTGGCACTGATATATATGAAATACTTTTCAAAGCATCATTAAGCCAAACTCGCTCACTCCTTTAAGAGTTATGGATCATGTACATGATCAATAATGCAGTGATTTTCATATTTTATGATATTGCAAAACATTCTTAATTACTAAATATCATCAAGGAAAGGTTAGTGGTTAAATGTCGATTTCAATTTTAATATGGCATGTTAGCATGGTTTGCGAATACTACAGTCATGCCCCGCTTATATACAGACTTCAGATATCCGGAAACCTCGGTTCCCGGACAATTTTCATTCAAAACGAAATAATTACTATATAAATTTACCCGTATATACGGAAATTCAGTTTCCGGAACCGAATGGTCATTTTCATACACAAAACACTGAAATGCACACAAAATTGTCTCACTTACCCGGACAATACACTTCCGCTGGTGGTAATCCTTTGATTCGTGAGAAGTCAATTAACCAAGTGACACTGAGTTACGTTTGAGACGAACTTGTTATTGTACATGTAATCCCATTCGATAAAAATGGTGTCTGTGGAGGTCAGAGGTCAAAGTTGTGACTTCAAACTGTGAGTATGGCCTGTAAACCAGTGAAACGTAAGTGACACGCAGTTACAGCACGCAAAAAAAGGGAAATTTGTCTGTTTAAGGAAAAACACCCGTCAGCAAGTTTGGAAACCATTAGTAAGCATTATGGCACTAGATTGGTCACAGTCACTCACAAGGAAGCTTGTGCTTGTATAGAGACCTTGATTACATATTACGAGAACACAGGCGATCTGGACAATTTGAAGGGAAGTAACTCTTCCAGTAAGAAGCTGGTTTCAGTTATATGGAAATTCGTTTATACGGACGAATTGTGAAATGATGCAAGTGTCTGTATAAACGAGGCACGACTGTAATTAATTATCATCCAAGGCACAGATGAATCAGTAGAGCAGTACATACATACATGACTGTTGGTTGTGTTTGCTTCATGTTTAATCCTGTAGTGAGACACAATTTGTGTACATTATTTTGCAAGTAATTGTGTTCAATTAGATATTGCATCAATTTCAGGAGGGTTACTTTTGAATTGATGCTAGAACATCTTGGATAGGTAGAGCTACAGATAAAACTGCGTATTTGCGTAAAATACCCACCTCAAATATTCAAAACCCTATTAACTTGCGTACAGAAACGCATGCATTTAATGAAAAACTCAAATGAATAAAAACAGCACGCTTGAATACCCAATGAACGTTTTCAGCATGCATACATCAGAGCTAATTTCTGAAACATTATGAGCTAAATTAATTTCCGAGTCAAGCCTTTATTTAAAACTGTTATATACATGTAAAATATTTTTATTTATTTTTTAAATCCCCAAATGTGTCCTCATTTTGGGAAAAACCCAATAGAGTGATGAAGGGAAAAATATTATAACCCAATTAAAATACCTTCGAGTAAAAACTCAATTGCTCAAAAAGTTATTTGGAGCTTTGGATAGGATTAAGGCATTCCCAAGTATTATGAAGGAATGTATCACACAATAAAGTGTGGGGCGGTCGAGTAGCCTAGT